CTCCTTGGTGCTGAGGGCAGCTCTGCTGCTCAGCTCTGGGAGCGATGGTAAGGCAGCCCGGAAGGCTCACCTCCTTCTCAGTGCTGGGGGCGGCTCTGCTCCTTGGTGCTGGGGGCTGTGGTATGTATGGCGGCCCTTAAGGCTCACCTCCTCAGCACTGGGGCTGACTCTGCTTCTCAGCACTGGGGGCAGTGGTACAGTGGCCAAAAAGGCTCACTTCCTCCTTGGTACTGGGGGCAGCTCTGCTCCTTGGTGCTGGGGGCAGTGGTACAATGGCCTGGAAGGCTCTTCCTCAGCGCTGGGGGTGGCTCTGCACCTCAGCACTAGGGGTGGTGTTATGGCAGCCCAGAAAGCTCGCTTCTGCCTCTAAGATAATGGTAGCTAACCTTTATGCAGTACCTCCCTGTGTACTAGAGGCTTCATAAGAACTAAAACATTTATCCTTTGAAACAATCTTATGAGGAAAATTAATACTGTCCTTCTTTGCTGAGGAAGAAACTAAAAGGTTTAAATCTCAGGACTAGGAAGAGGCTGAACCAGAACTAGTTCAGAGTCTCTACTTATTTAAATCTGCTTTCAAAACAATAGAAAGCTAATTACGTCCTCTTGAGTGATAAATGCCTCTTTGGATGTATAAATATGAATTTTTTTCCTTATTATCCAAAAACATTTACTCATTATAATGTAGCCATCCAAAGATAATTACTATTGACAGCTTGGTGTTCATCTAGTCTTTTCTGTATTTTTTATGTTTGTATATATGGTGCAGGTCTCTCTTGTGTTCATATTTACAGGTTCTTTACCCACCCCCCCAAAAAAAACCACCAACCTACAAAATCTTTTGACTGATAATTTTTCCTCCAATTCTCTTTTTTTTTTTTTTGGTACCGAGGATCAAACTTGGGACCTTGCGCTTGCGAGGCAGGCACCGGAACCACTGAGCTAAATCCATGGCCCTAAAGAAAGGCTATCTCAGACATATATAAAATTTCAGGTACAGCAGTTAGATTCAGGAGATTATAACATAGTGACCATAGTTAATAATGAGGTATTGTATATTTGAAACCTGCTAAGAGAGTAGACTTTAAGTGTTCTCACCACAAAAAAAGGTAAGAGATATGCTAACTTGCTTGATTCAGTCATCCCACAATGCATACATATAGCAAGATATGTATATCATAAACATGTACATTTTATTGTTAATTTTTTTAAAATCACAAATTTTTTAACCAGAAAACTTGACTCTGTTTTTGTTTTTGGTACCGGGAATTGAACTCAGGACCTTTTGCTTCCCAGGCAGGCAGGGCACCACTGAGCTAAATCCCCAGCACAACTTGACTCTTTTTTTTTTTTTTTGGTACCGAGGATCAAACTTGGGACCTTGCGCTTGCGAGGCAGGCACCGGAACCACTGAGCTAAATCCCCTGGCCCTCCTGCAATTCTCTTTAAGAGAAACAACTTACAGTGGAAACATTCTGTATGTGACTATTCTTTTGGCATTCCAGGGCAGTTTCTCCTAAACTCCCAGCAAAAAAGAATTCCCCTCATATCAAAAACTGAATGACCAGTAGTAAGAAAGAGGCTAGAAATCAGTTTGCTGCAGGAACATGTTACTAATAAAAGTATTAATTATCTGTTGCTACCATCTTAGTCACTTTGCTCTCACTGAGATACAATATGCAACACCCACAGAGTAAAGGAAGAAAGCTTTCTTTTGGCTCACATTTACAGTCCATGATTGGCTGGCTGCCAGGCAGGACAGCATGGCAGAGGGGCATGGCAGAGGGGCATAGCAGAGGAGCATTTTTTGTGTCGTAGCCCACCCACCGGAACCAGAGAGAAGGGCGGTGCCATGAAGGGTGTTAAACCCTTCCAGCCCACACCCCGAGTGATGCTCCTCTTCTGACCAGACCCCACCTCTGAATAGCAAGCCAGCTACATGCCCCTATAATCCAGTCACCTTCCAAAAACCTCAACACCTGAGTGCATGAGACTCTGTAGGGACGTCCTCGTGTAAACCACAACAGCTACATTAAAAAATTAACTGAGAACATAGCATCTTAGATCAAACATTTATTGTCTTGTCTTGAAGGTTCTGTGGTTTGGGAGATGGGAGTAACTTCACTGCATGCCTCTGACTCTCAAAAGGTCTCACAGGCTGCCTTCAGGATGTTAGCCACTGCTGAAGTTAGCGAAAACTTCACCTTGCAGAAGATTTGCCAAGTGCCATAGCTCTTAGAGGGGCTTGCAAACTGCACTTCGAAACTCAAGTTGTGTGGCTCTTGGCAGGTCTGCCTCTCCAGGTCTGTCTGTCACAGGTCTGCCTGAGTGCTGATCACAGCATGGCCGTTTGCTTCCCTAGAGCAAGGGCTCTGAAGGAGCAAGAGCAAGGCAGAAGTCAATCTTTTCAGGACCTAATCTTAGAAGTGGCATCCATTACTTTGCCGTTGTCTGTTAGAAGTAGGAGACTGGGCCCAGCCCACACTTAAAGGAAGGGGATGATACAAATAGGAAGAGACAGGGATCAGTGAGTGCTGTCTTAGAGACTGCTCACCACAGTGTACTCTAAATCTTCCTTCTTATGGCTACTCCACCTGGGAGGAACTAGACAGCCATTCTCATTATGAAATAGGGTAGTTCATGAATTTTAACTTAAAACCATGCCCGACATGATGGTGGCATGCAAAGGGTAGCTGTGCTTAAATAATAATACTTCATGATGTGACTAGCATGGATTTCTGGAATGACTGATTTTAAAAATTTCTTGTCTCTTTTTATTACTCTCTCTCTCTCTTTTTTTTTTTTTTCTGGTACTGGGGATCGAGGATGTTGCACTTGCAAGACATATGTGGCACCACTGAGCTAAATCCTCAGCCTTCAACCCCTTTTTTGAAAGATAACTGAATATTTTAGAAGTCACATTTTTATTATTTAAATGCAGATTTACTTGGTAAATTACAAACAAAACTTTTTTTCAGGTTGTGGGGATTGAACCCAGGGCCTTTACACTGAGGTACATCCCTATCCCACCATCTCCCTTTTTAAATTTTGAAACAGGATCTTGCTAAGTAGCTAAGTTACTCAAGCTAGGCTCAGGCTTGGGATCCTCCTGCCCCAGCCTTCTAGAGTACTGGGATTACAGGCGTGTACTACCATTGTTGACAGAAACAAATTTTAATGGGTTAGTTTGTCTTTAAAGTCATTATATTCCTGGGCTGCTAACCCTTACCATTTACTGATTCATATGATTCAGGTTTTCATTTTAACTGTAGCTTAGACATACCACTCAACAGCCACTGGAAAACATGGGAATTAATTTTTACCTAGAAATCAAAAATTGTATTTCTGAAGCTTCTGAAAAATGGAACAAGCCTAGAATAGTTTTTTGCCTTTATATAAAGTAATTTTGAAATGTGTTTATTAATTGCTTACTTGGTATCAGTTTTAAGATGCTTAGATTAACACGTAAACAGATCCGTTGCTCATAAAATGCGATTCCATTTTCTCCTAGGGTTTAGCAGTCAGTTTAAGTTGTCTCATGGGAAATTAACTCCTCACTAAGCATCTCTAAAATAGTATCTAAGACACCTAGTTTGACACCTAGTCATTTTATTATGTAAGGAAATCTGTGCTCCCAACAGAAAATAACAATCTAGGATTATCCTTGCTTCTGTTTACTGTTCACTGTTGCTCCTGAATGATGATAATAATAGTAATAATAATAATGATGATGATGATAGTATTTTTGTAATGGGTTGTGTTTGGGTTGCATTTGCAGCACATTGACTATCCCTGATGATGCAGTGGCAGGTGAACAAAAGAAGGAATCTCCAGTTGGACCTATTACTTCAAATTCTCACCAAGATGGTGAAATGAGCTCAGTGGAACAAAATGTGGATGACAACGTGGCAGAGAACACAAAATCCAAACCAAAAAAAACAAAAAGGAAGGCTAAAGCAGGTTTGATACCCAAACTAAATGAAAAACTATATGCCTTGGTAGAAATAACTTAACCTTAGGATATTAGCTCTTAAAGCTAAAACTAAAGGATGTAATTTTAAATAATTCAATATAGGATATTTGGTACCTGATCTTCATTCATTTAGATTAAACCATTCATTTATTTTTAACTGTGGGTCTCCTGATGAGTTTGTATTATTTAAGACGACCATCTGGCTCTTGACTTTAATTCAACTGTAGAATTATAGTGACTTTGTAGTTGCTCTTTGTGGCATAGAAAGTTTCTTTTTTAAACCATTAAATTTACAGCCCCTAAATGGTTCAGACTCCATTGTTGAAAGCTAGAATGGTCTACAGCCAACACTTTAGGTATTAGGGCTGCATCTCTCTTTCATTCATGGTGACTTTCCAGTTCCTCAACTTAATTCAACTTCTCTCTACTAATTTTCCTGTCCCCTCTTGATTTCTGTTACCTACCTAAAATACACAATTTTAGCACTTATGGTTTTTATTCATTAGAGGATACAATTGGTGATCTTGTGTGCTTCTTGTAGTTAAAATTTTTATAACTTGTTGAAGCATAGTATACATATAGAAAGACATACCACAAATGTACTATTTATTGAATTTTTACAAACTGAACATACCTATAAAATCATCATCCAAATCAAGGAACAGAATATCATTAGCCCCCAAAAGATCCCTCAAGTCCTCTTCTGCTTGGTTTGTGTACAGGAGTAATCACTACCCTGACAACTAACGGTTTATTTTTGCCTATTTTTGTGTATTAATAGGAATAGACTCGTAAATACTGTGCTTTTTTGTGCCTGGCTCCCTCACTTAATATTATTTTTGTAAGATTTATACCATTGTTATATTCTGAGTGTTGGCTTTCTGTTTAATATAAATACCTATTGTGTGAATATACCACAATTCATTTAGTCTATTGATGGTTACTTGGTTTAAGAAATTCCAAGAGAAGCTGTAATAAACATTCTATAGTTACATTTTTTGGTGCACATTTTTATACATTTTTGTCAGACCTGTTCTTAGAATTGCTATGACATATATTATGTATATTTTAATAGCCCATTCCAGTTTTCCAAATTGGTTACCAAATAATACTGGCAGTGTTTGAGAATTCCATTTGCCGTACATCTTCACCAACATGTATATTGTTGGACTTACAAAATTTTAATCATTTTTAGGGATAGTGATATTTTCATTTTGTCTTTAATTTGTTTCCCATTAAAATTAGCTGAGAATCTTCATATTTATTGACTACTTGAATCTTTGATTTGTAGATTTGTTCAAATCTATGCATTTTTTTTAACACACAGAATTGTCTTTTTCTAATTCATATATGGGAATAACATATACGTAGGTGTGTGTCTTCTCTTGATATAAATATACATCCACATACACAAATATATTGTAAGTATCTTGCCTTTCTGGGTTTTATTATTTCTCATATGGGTTACTTTTTAAAAAACCAAATTTTTCCTTCATACCAGAAAAAACAAAAAAACAAATTTTTATACTACCCAGTTTATGCATTTTTTCCTTTGATGGTAATGCTTTCTGTGATTTTTTTTAAAGAAATCTTTCCAAGCCCTGAAGATGTTTTACTAGAAGTTTTACTGTTTTACTTTTCACATTTAGATACACTATACTGTTCATTCATCAGGGAATATACAGTAGACCCTTGACTGACGAACTCGATCAGTTTCCATGGGCTGGTTGTAACTAAGTCAATACAGCTGAGATCTGGATGTTTACCTGAGTACACACTATAGATAACAACAGGCTGATTAATCTTCCATTAACCTAATTAACCCAAGTTGTTCGTATGTTGGGCCAGTTGTAACTTGAGGGTCCACTGTATTGTGAATGATGTCAGTCTTTGGAAGTTATTGAGGCTTTCCTTACTATCATTTTGTGATCAGTTTTGGTAAATATCCCATATACTTGGGAAAAATAGTACAGAAATGTGCAATAAAGAAAATCTAAGCTAAAAGTTGAGTCTTCAAAACTCATAAATTGAAAATCCTAAAGTGGATCAAAAAATTGAGAAATTAATTCCTAAGACGTGGTCTACCATGTGTTTCAAATTGACAGCCTCACGGGTATTGGTCTCTTTGGTTCTGAAGACTATGGGAGATGGAGTTTTGCCCTTCAGTGTCTTTTAAGAGCACGGTCATTTAGCTTTCTGCCTCATGCAGCTTCAGATATCTGAGGGGAAGATGTGTTTGAAGCCCCTTAAGTCTCCGGTTTTGTTACTCCAGCACTTCATGGACATTAAAATTTCTGCTGATTTCCTCTATCCCCTAGTAGTGGCCTTCTGCTAGGGGGAAGGGAGGGTCACACTTAGTTTTCAACCTCTAGCTGTAAATCACATTGGTGAGTGACCCCAGGTGAAAATTGGCTATAGATCCTTAATGAAAACTGACCACATTCTCTAGGATTATATTTTTTGCTTGCTCTGTTTCAGACGTTTACTTTTTTGTTGTTGTTTTTTTGATTTTTTGGTTTTTTTGTTTTTGTTTGTTTGTTTGTTTGAGACAGGGTCTCATTATATGGTTCAGGCTAGCCCTGAACTCACTATGTATTCCAGGCTGGCCTTGAACTCATAATGATCCTCCTGCCTCAGCCTCTCCAGTGCTAGGATCACAGGAGTGCGCCACCACGCCCAGCTCAGACCTTTACTCTTGGTGAGCATGTTCTGCTAGCACCACTTGACAGGAGATTTTGCTACCTCTTCAGCCTCCTGGTAGCCTCAGAATTTGGTTTTATGAGAGTAATTAGCATTTCAAGTCTCCAGTTTTATCACTTTAGTTCCAGGGAGCCACTGAAAGTTTCACTGGTTTATCCTTCTAGTAATGGCTTGCCTGGACCAAATCCTGAGTGAGCAAACGTCCCCAAAGACAAAAGCATTTGAGATTCTACTAGCTTGCTTCTAACTGATTGTTCTTCTCTGAAATTTTAGTATACATTGTTTCTGCACTTTTCTGATGACTTAAGAATGTGTTTTTCATTATTTGTGTTTTTCTAATTGGTTTTGCCTGAAGCACAGTTTATTACATCTTGATACATCCCATGCAAAAACAGAAATTCCAGTTATAAATGAACCAAGTGATAAATATTCCATCCAGAAAGTACTCAGATAATACTACTTTTTTGTTTTTTGAGACTTTTTGTGTTGTTTGTCCTTGTTAGGGAAAAAATAGATATCTCATCCTATTTTAATGCATTAGTAAATGCAATATTTCACCCTCAGTGTGTGGCTGGCTGCTGTCTGGCCTTTTCTTTTCCCTTGTAGTTCATCTGTTAACAGAATGAAATAATCATAAATCAGAAAGATTAATATGTAAATCCAACTGAAAACAATTATAATATTGATTTTCTTCTTTGCATGAAGTTTCAGATAATGAAGAAATTGATAGAGATGGTGTTCATGAAGTAACAAGCCAAGATAGTCCAGTTTATGCCAAAAGTTTGCCTAATGATGGCCTTGTCTTAGGAGTTTACATTCACCGAACTGATCGACTTAAGTCAGATTTTATGATTTCTCACCCAGTGGTAAAAATTCATGTGGTTGATGAGAAAACTGGTCAATATGTCAAGAAAGATGATAGGTAATTTTTCACATTGCACAGCTTACCTTTTAAATTGAAACTGTCTATAGTAGTTGTTTTCATTTCTTCTACTACTGGCAATAGTTGAAACTCAATGGAAATAGAACTGAGAATTTGTAGTAGCGAAGAGTCTACTAGCTGTAGATGTTCATCATCCATTTGATATGTATAGAAGGTATGGAGAACCTCTGTTCATTTGTAGTAGAGAGCTTCTACTAAGCTTAATGACTAATTTATGCCATAAAACTTGGATTATAAATCATCTTGCGGAAATGTAGTTGCAAATCCTATTTCTCTTTTGAAATGAATGTTACCTGGGCCTCAGGTGAGGTAAATGAATCTTGAATTTTTTCCCGAGATTACTTCTACAAGCAAGATATATGTGAAGGCCCAGATAAAATTTACAATAAAATAAATGATCATACTGGCATCCTCAAAAATTATTTGCTTGGAAAGATGGCATAGAAGGAAAACATGAAGATTATCACAAAAAGGTTATTATACCATTGTCTGAGGTCATACAAAGAAAATATGACACTTAAAAAGTTTTGTTCATTTTCTTATTCAAATGAAGTTCTTGTATATTTTATCATAAGCTCATTTAAAATTCAGAAGGAGTTACTTTGTTTCAGCTATTCATACCTCTTCCTTTATGTTTGGATATGAAGCAATTCTCTGAAACCAACTGATAGCATATAAATGCAAAATGAAAGTGATCCTCTACTACTTCCAAGTTTTATAAAATTTATAGTTTTCTAGATGGGCAATGTAAAGAATGTTTTCTTTTATAACATTTTGGCTATTTCTGGTTACCTTTGTTGTGCATTATATATTCTCATTTTCTTCTTTTTTCATTTTCTAAAATTATAGTTAATTGTGTTAATAGAAGTATTTTTCTTTGAACAGTGAGCATCCTGTGTCATCTTACTATGAAAAAGAGAATGTGGATTATATTCTTCCTATCATGACACAACCATATGATTTTAAACAGTTAACATCAAGACTTCCAGAGTGGGAGGAACAAATTATATTTAATGAAAAATTTCCCTATTTGCTTCAAGATTTTGATGAGGGTCCTAAGGTGATCCTTTTTTTTGAGGTATGAATTGAATGGAGCAATTCAAACTAAATTTTAGTTAACAGTTAATCACACAAGTATAATCTGCTTTCAATAGTACAGTAATGCAACAAAGTTGTGTAAGAATTTAATCCCTAAGATTTAGAGTTTGTAATATGCTGGTAGAACCAGTGAGGAGCTGTTTTTAAACAGCGATGGCTTATTTGCTGAACATTTGCCAGTGCCCAGGGTTAGCCATGTAATCTACTCTTAAGATATCTGGTAATCCTTACAGCAACCCTGTGACTGTTAATTGAAGTGATAAATTTAATCCATATGAATCCAGTTCTCTGCTCTGAACCCATTCACTAAGTGAAAACTCATTTTACCACACCAGACTAAGAATATGCATACTACCTAGATAAAAAAGATAAGCATACACAGATCTGTTGAATAATACAATGTAATATATAAACAACAAGATAAGTAATTTCTTAGATGTGAAGTGGTAGGTCAGAGCAGTCAGAGAAAGATTCTTTTTTTTTTTTTTTTTTTTTGGTACTGGGGATTGAACTCAGGACCTTGCACTTGTGAGGCAGGTGCCGCGCCACTGAGGCAAATCTCCAGAGTGAGAAGGATTTATAGTTGGGCCGGGGATTTAGTTCAGTGGTTCCAGCGCCTGCTGCGCAAGTGCAAGGTCCCGAGTTAGATCCCTGGTACTAAAAAAAAAAGATTCTGAAGATTTATAGGTAACCTTTGAGCTGACTTGTTATTCAAGTATTTTTACTGAAAAAAAGTGATTTCCTCAGATTTCCTCCAGTTCTAATTGTAGATCATTTATACTTGATGATAATTTGAATTTGAATGCTTCATTTCTTTTTACTATTTTGTTCTTTTTCCAAAAGCAAAAAAAAGTAAGTAGAGAAACCTCCCTTCCCATTTAACCAAGCTGGAGAATTTTAGCATGGGAATGACAAGGATCCTGGTATGACCAGAGCTGATAACTTATTTTGTAGAGTTGCTTGTTTTTATGGTCCTTGACTTTCAGCTTATTTGTATATTTCTGTGATAAATGCTTTACTGTTCACATCTATGATTATGCTATATGTGATTTATAAAAAGCCATAATTTTCTTAAAAAGAGATACAGTAATTTTTATCTCAAGGAACTTTTTTGTTACAGAAATTTGTCACTTTTATTATAATGTTCTTGAATAATAATTTTATTAAGAGATTTAAGAATTATAAATTATTGGGTTATAGACACTTTTGGTTACTTAAATTTTAACATAATGTGTAATTGCCTGTACGACTACTTTTTGACTTCAGCTTTTTAAGGGTTTAGTCAGGACAGTTTGATGTCTGTCAGAAATCTTTAAAACTATTATTTTACTCCTAGATATTTATGTGAAAAATATTTTATGCAAAGATGTGCCTACAAGGATATTTATTTCAACTTTGTTTATAATAGCAAAAATTTTAGAGAACTAAAGGAAACTAAATTTCAATTAATAACAGACTTGGTGTAATTATGGTTTTTATTAAATGTATGATATAATACAGAATAGTAGACAGCCATTAACATGATGGCTTCATATAAATCATACATAGCGTAATCAGAGATGTAAATGGTATAATATATCATACACATGCATATCACTTGACAAGAAGGGATATCCACCACATGCTTCATGAAAATAGTTTGCAAAACAGTATGTATTAGATTTACAGTATAGTCCCGTGCACACATATATTCAGGAATGCACAGACAAAGAGTTTAGATCAGTATACACATGTTACTAGTAATTATTCATGAGTTTGGATTATAAATTAAGTGTTTTTTTCTGTATTGTCAGTGGTTTTTACCGAACATTTATATTTGAAAAATATTTTAGTGTCTAAAAAAGAGGATGGAATGAAATTCATATTATTAAGCAGTCTTCAATAAAAACTTATCTCAAACTTCTGATAAGCACTAGTAAGTAAGTACAAAGTGATAGCCTCTAGAGTACAGACAGTCTCTGTGTCAGGTTTGTTGCAAGTCCTTGAGCTTTGGTATCCAGACAGGATGAAAGTATGAAAGAAATCCTAATTTACAACATATATCTAAAGAGAAAGGAAGATAGTCAAGCCAAAAATGTAGAAATAGGGTCCTGAGTTTCTAAAACAGCCCTTCAAAGTCTTTTCTGATATAAGAAAAATGATCAGAACTTAAGAATTCTGTGCCTGATATATTTGTATCTACATTATAATTGAAGTAATTTTTTATTTTGAATTGACGTATACTTGTATATATTTGTGGGTTACGGTGTGACATTTCAATTATATATATATATATATATATATATATATGGTGTGATGATCAGATCGAGGTGATTTGAATATCTGTCATATTTTAGGTAATTAATACTTTATCTTGCACTTGAAATAAATCTTAATAAAAGAATTATTAATAAAGGATAAAGTAGTCAAATAATGAACTCTCAATAACTGAATGAGTTAACTTGAAAGTGAATGAAATGTGATTAAAATGTTTTTATTCCTGTAAAGGAAACATTTTTAAGTACCCAAATGATATTTTAATTTTAGTATTATAGAAAATATTAAATTTTAGATAGCCTAGTGTTCTGTGAAGTAATTTTTAAATTTTTTTCAGATTCTTGATTTTTTAAGCATGAATGAAGTTAAGAATAACTCTGAAGTCCGAAACCAAGAATGTGGCTTTCGGAAAATTGCCTGGGCCTTTCTTAAGGTATGTTTTTCATCCATTTTAAACACATTTAAAGTAATCAATCGCTTCTCGGCCTTTTGGCTAAAGATCAAGTGTAAAGTAATCTTCAAATTTGACTGGTGTTATTAACTGAAGCTCGGAGGAGGCTCTTTAAGAATCTTAGGTATTTATTGATTGCCTAGCATATGCTAATTACACTTTTTGCCCTGAAGATGCAAGCACTGAAAAAGACACATGTAGCCTTGCCATCATTTATTCAGTTCAACAGATTTTTAAGCCCCTTCTGTGTGCCGGTCACTGTTCTAGTTAGCAAACCTAAAGAAGACAGATCCCTTGACCATATCAACCACACATCCTAGCAAGAAAAATATACCACAATTACTTACATAATTTGTTACCCAATTAAATTTTTATAAACACTGTAAATAGTTATGAGGGTAGGTAATGAAAACAAGGGTCCTGTGGTATCAGGAAAGGTTTCTCAAGGAAGGACACTTAACTTAAGCATAGCTGGCTACAGCAGTGGAGAAGAATATATGCAAAGACTGATTCAGGGAGGAGCAAGGTATATTTACATAACCAAGGAAGGCCACTGAGTTTGGAGGACAGGGACTGAGACAGAGAATGGTGGGTGAAAAGGTTGCTGAGGTTGATGGGGTCCTCATTACACAGCGACTTCTAACCCATGATAAAATTTTAAAGAACAATAGAAAACAATTAGAGGACTTTAAACAAGAATAAACTAATCAGAAGATTACTTGAACAGAATAGAACGTAGATTCTAGAAGAATTTAGGAAATTCTTGCAGGAGTATAGGTACAAAATGTCTTTGACTAGGATGTTTTAGCAGAGATGAAAATCCTGGATAGATTAATGTTTAAAAAAAGAAGTGGGGGCCAGGGATTTAGCTCAGTGGTTCCGCTACCTGCCTGGCAAGTGGAAAGACCCAAGTTCGATCCCCGGTACCAAAAAAGAGAAAAAAAGAAGTGGCTGTATATGTCACTCTGGTTGAGTGCTTGCCTAGCATGTGCAAGACCTTAGGTTTGATGTCCCAGCACTGCAAAAAAAAAAAAAAAAAGGAAATTTTATATGTACTCTTTTTTATTCCTAGTGTTCTTTATTTCTGTCTTCAATATAAATGTGAATTATGAAAAGCCTTGAATTTGTACCATCTACTGTCTCATAAAAATTTTTCAGTGTGTACATACATCCATCTAACATATATATTGTTTCTATGAAACATGAGCTCTTTGCTCACTCATAAGTTAGAGCACTCATAAATTAATTAGGCATTGTGCCTGCCCTCCAATTTAAGTTTCTGTGTAAAAATGCTATCTATATGATTATGTATTATATAGTAAATGCTGTGAAAACCCAGTTTAGTCATTTACTCCTTGTCAGGGCTGGAGAGAGTCTTTAGAAAAGATGTAGTCTGAATGACAGCCAGGTTGACTGTAGTGAGGAAGTTATTCAAGAATGGCCTTAGGAATCACCTAGTCTAGGGGGCCGGGGATTTAGCTCAGTGGTTCCGGTGCCTGCCTTGCAGCGTAAGGACCTGAGTTCAGTCCCCAGTACCAAGAAAAGGAATCACCTAGTCCAGTGTACCATCTAAAATTATTCTAACTTGCTATGTCTTTTTTTAGATCCATTCATAATACTGATTTAGATTTAAAAATAAACAACAACAAAAAAGCCAACAAACCAAACCAGAAAGTTCACATTCACACAGCAAACTTTGCCTTATAGTAGTTTATTAGAAACTGCTCTTATTCCTTCTGTATTAAAGTTTGTACAAACCTTCTATATTTACCATAAACTGAAATTAGGAAACAGTAACAGATTTTTGCTTTTTCTATCATGTGGATTTTTATTCGTGTATCTTACACCATTGGCAGAAATGACAGTCAAAATTTTTCCCTGGCATCATCCCCATCCCCGTAAAGGGTAAGGTACTCTGTGTGCTTCCCCTTTGTAGCAATATCTTCTTCATTTTCTAAGCTTTTCAGAGTCAACAGTGATAAATTTGTTGAACATTTTTAGTTCTTATTTTACGAGATGTCTTTGCATTTAATATATCACTGTCTCAAAATATCATAACATCGCTAGCCCTGGCATATTAATGACACATAGAAAATGCTTGAAAAATATTGAGGGAATTTCTAAGTGGGTGGAAAGAATGACTAGGGTAAAAATTCATTTGAGGAAAATGTCATGAATCAAGTTAAATTTTAAATCTTTTACTACCTATGCCTGGTTGCAGGATGTCTTGGATAATTGTAAAGTTATCATAGTGGTCCATAAGACTGCATCCTAATTCTCAGTTACAGTTCATATCTCAGGTACCTTATGATTCTTACAGCACATATACGTGATTCCTTTTTTAAACTTAAAGTAATGAAGTCTAATTATTTGACTATTATCTAATTTATGACTATAATGGCAGGGTCTTGGCTGGATTTTAGTTGTTTACTCATATTAAGGAATATAGCAGTGTAAATTAGATTGCCTAGAGAATTTTAAACAACTTATGGAAAGCTGTAACTAGCTCCTTAGAAGTTGCTATGGTAAGTTTTGGAGAGATAATAGGAAGGCTTATGAAAGTAATGCAGGGTACTTAATACTTATCGACTGTTATTACTCAACTTGAAACTTTTTTCCACCTCTCTCTATCATTTGACACTGATTATAGTATCACCTCTGCTTATAACCTTTATTGTCTTCACATGCTTTTTTCTCCTAGAGTGTAGGGGGAAAAGTGGGTTACATTTTGCGACGTATTTTTGCTCATTTATACATCAAAATCTGGATTTTGTCTCTGCCTGTAAAGGTTCTCCAATCAAATCACAAATATTTCTGTTTGCCAAATTTTCTTATTGTTCAATAATTGTCACACTCATGTGCATTTACGTTTCACTCTCTTGAGACTCTGTTACTGTGGCTTTCTTGACTCCATCCTTTCCTGACTTCCTTTATGCCATTCCTTCATGGTCTTCCACCTGCTACTTTAATGTCAGTACTACTCTCAGTTAAATTATTTTTCTTGGAACCACTTTTTTACCTATCCTTCAGATTTGTAAATGTAATTACTTAACTGCGCAGTTCAATTTAGATGACTTTAGATGTCTCAGACTTCCCTGAAGTAAATACCTTACCTAATCTCTTATCTCTCTTGGATACTTTCTTCAGTTGTCTTCCCAATCTCCCGAGTTTATGACCATGGAATTATACTGTTTATTTTGGTAGTCACAAGTCATATGTGACTAATTGAATTTAGATGAATGGAAATTTTATATAATTAAAAATCCAATTCAGTGGTTGCACTGTCCACACTCCAGTAGCTCCATGTGACTAGTGAGTTCTGTGTTGTTTGATGGCACAACTGTAAAGCATTCCCATTCTCCTGGAAAATACTGTTGGACAATGCTGCCTTAGAGTCCTCGGCCCTTTTTACTTTCCAAGTTGCTTAAGTTGGTAACATTACGTATTATTAAACATACCTCCCTCCAGTACACAGTGCCTACTCTTCTGATTTAAGTTACCTTCATGCTCTACCTAAACTGCTACAAAAACTCCTAGTTATCTCTCCTTAATTTGTAGAGGATACAAAGGTTAGAAAGACATTTCCTATTTACAGTCACGGTCTAGTGAAAGAGGACCTATTCTGGGTTGATGAAATTTTTTATTTTTCTCATAAGAATTTCCATTTATATAGCTTCAAATTGTAGGTTTTTGTTTTTTTTTTTTGGTACTGGGGATTGAACTCAGGACCTTGCACTTGCAAGGCAGGCAGTGGAACCACTGAGCTAAATCCCCAGCCCCTTGTAGGTTGTTTTTTAATAGACTTTTTTAAGAAGGTAGAGTACAATATTGAAAAAATATGATGAATGATTTGAATTAGTTTACACTTATTTTAACTTTTAAAAAAATTGAAACATAAAATTTTAATTATTAAAATCCCAACAGTGAACAAATGGAAATTTTGTTTCTACACTTAAGTAATATGTATTTTATTACTTATTATTTCAAACAAGTATATATTGATCACTTTGTGCAAAGTGACATCTGGAACAGTAGTGTAAATGCTTCTGCAGCAGTCTGAAGTGTTCTGTACAGGTGAAAAGAGCTGTTGGAAAGTATTTTAAAAGTTGTTTGTGTTACATTTTGTCGAAAAAGATCTGAAACTGCCTATGTCAGTCTTCTTTCCTTTGCTTTGTAAATCTAAGGAATTTCAACATGTTAATGTTTTTAAAAATAAGTTTCTATTTACTATTGCTCATTGAATGTACCTATTTTCAATGAAAGTCATATTTTATGCATGAATTCCTCTTTTAAGCTTCTGGGAGCCAATGGAAATGCAAATATCAATTCAAAACTTCGCTTGCAGCTGTACTACCCCCCTGCTAAGCCTCGATCTCAGTTAAATGTCATTGAGGTTTTTGAATGGTGGTCCAGATGTCCAAGAAATCGTTATCCATCAACGTTGTATGTAACTATACGAGGTCTGAAAGTTCCAGATGGTGTAAGTTAATAACACATATCAATGTATATCTTCTATTATTAAAATTAAATGACATATGTCTTTTCCTTTTTTCAAAAGATAAAGCCTGCAACATTATTTAAATAACTTTTTATTTGAAAGATGCTGTCAGAAATTGTATATTAAGCCAGTAATAGTTGATATTAAAGAAATAACTTAAAATAAGTTTTAAACATATATTTCAGGGTTAGCAAAAATGTTATTATAGTTTGATTTTTTTTTTTTTTTTTTGGTACCTGGAATCAAACTCAGGACCTTGCACTTGCCAGGCAAGCATGGCACCGCTGAGCCAAATCCCGGCCCTATAATTTGATTTTTTAAAATTGAAGATAAAAGGATGACTTAAAGCTGAGGTTGAAGAATATTTTTCTTATAAACAGAGAGCAAATATTTTAGGCTTTGCAAGCCATATATTTGTTATCATAACTACTCAACTTTGTATTGTGAAAGTAGCTATATAAATATATGTAGACAGCAACTAAACAAATGAGTATGACACGTCACCATAAAACTGTTTACAAGCCGAGCGTGGTGATGTGTGCTTATAATCCCAGCACTCTGGGTAGCTGAGGCAAGAGCATCGAAAATTTAAGCCCAGCCCGAACAACTCAGCAACTTAATAAGACCTTATCTCAAAACTAAAACAGGGGCTGGGGATTTAGCTCAGTGGCACCACACCTGCCTCGCAAGCACAAGGTCCTGAATTCTATCCCCCCCACCAAAAAAAACCCCAAAAAAACCCTAAAAATAAGCAAACAAACAAAAGCTCTGAGAATGTAGCTCAGGGTGAAAGCCAAAGTCCCTTGGCTCACTCCCCAGTACTGTAAAGAAATAAACGAACAATTTATAGTAGCAGATAGTAGGCTAGATTTGGAATATGAGCTGTAGTTTGCAGACCTCTGATTTACACATTCCACAATAAAAGTATTCAAATAATAAATAGTATTTCTACTTCTGTTTTCTAAAGATTCATATTATAAATGATCTTAGCAAAGAATCCTAAAATGAAAAACGTTTGCTTTGTCTCGTTTTTGTTACATTACTTGCACATTCTGTAGCTGATATTATGTGCCATCACCACAGGGTTGGTTTGCATTAGTGTGAAGAAGGTAAATAGGAAAAGAGGATTTTTAAAACTTCAGATTTTTATGGTATTAGTTTTGTGATTTTTTTAAACCCAGATATCATTTATAAGAGCCATGGCATAACATCAGGTAGATATTGATTAAAAAGCAGAAACAAAAGGACAGAGTTATTAAAGTCATTTTGTGTAACCATTGGAATCTATTATCGAAGCTTTTAAGACTTTTTTGATTACAGAACTATACTTTCAAGTTATTTTATTTAGAATCACATATAAATAAAAATAAGATTTTTTTTTCTGGATCACGTTTTGATAAAATGTCTATATTGTGCCAATATTTTAAAAAGCAGTATATAATGGGTAAGAGAAAAAGGTGAACATGACATAAATTTTTTCGTTTTCTATATATATTTAGATAAAGCTGTCTTACCAATCTATGATGGCTCTTCAGGAAGAGAAAGGTAAATCAGAACATTATGAACATCACCGTGAGTCAACTTCAGTAGACACAGAGCCTGGATTAGAAGATTCGAAGAAAATAGTAGAGTGGAAACGACTACCTGGACAGGTAAAGTGTTTAATACTACTAGATTCATTTAGATATTTACTACCTTACATAGGGATTCTGCATATGAATTTTGAGGGTACACAAGCATATATTCCATAGCAAAGATTAAGGAGCCAGCAAAGCTGATACCCTCTGAGACCTTCTCTTGCAGATGGCTGCTTTCATGTTGCCTCTTCACATAGTCTTTTCATGTTTTAAAGACCTTATCTTCAACTGCGACTACGTTCAAAGGTACTGGAGGATAGGGCTTTAACATGAGTTTGGTGGGAGTGGGGGAGCAATTCACTCCCTAGCACAGTCACAAACCGTAGATTTTTGATGTCTATAAGAACTATGTCTCCTGAGAAACCTCCCCGCCTCCATCCCAGGCTCCTAGGGCAGTGAAGCTCAGCTGGTCCCAGCACCCAGAAGGAAGCTCCCCGCCTCCATCCCAGGCTCCTAGGGCAGTGAAGCTCAGCTGGTCCCAGCACCCAGAAGGAAGCTCCCGTGCTGCCATCCCAGGTTCCTAGGCCCAAGAAGGTGACCAGTCCCAGCACCCGGAAGGAAGCTTCCCCTCCTACTCTTTCTGCAACTAGTGACAGGATCATATGGCTTTCTCCTTTCCTCTGTTAAAATGATGACTTCTGGGGGTGGATCTTCCAATGCTGAACCAACACTGCCATCCGTATAATAAAACCACTTTCTACATACTGCCAGATCTGACTTCTAAGTGTTCTGTTAAACAAATTTCTATCTATGTTCATACTTTTTTCTTCTATTATCTTTATCCAGTTTTAGGATTAGCACAATGTTGAGTTCCTAAAATGAGGGGAGAAGTGTTCCTTCTTTTTTCTGCTTTAAATGTTTGATATAATTTATCAGTTAAAATGTTTATGAGCCTGCTATTATATAGGTAGGTTTTCAAGCTAGGAATATACTTTCTTTAATAGGTGCTATTCAAATTTTGTATTTCCTCCAGAGTTAGTTTCATTAATTTGTCTTCTGAGTTACTTCTTAGAAGTTGTCAAATTTTTTTCAAAAAAGATTTTTGTAATATGCTTTCTATATCCTTTTAAATTCTGTAAAATCTGTGGTAATGTCTCCTAGATCTTAATATTGTAATTTAAAAAATGTATAACTGATATTGTGTAACAGGAAGAAAAGGTCTAAAAGAGCAGGGGAATTGGGAGGGGTAGGGGAAGGGAAAAAGAGAAAGGAAAAAATATGAGAAGAGGAAAAAAATGGAAACAAGGTCATTGCAAATAGGGAAGGGAGGGAAGGGAAGGGGAAAAAAAATAAGAACCAAGAGACTCATGTAATGGTACAAGATCCCAATGATGAATGTAACTGTATTTTATACTTAAAATGTACCAATAAACTTAATGGGAAAAAAAAGAACTATATCTCCTAATCTTTATGAATTCATGAAATTTTTTACAACCCCTGGTTTCTTCCTGAATCACATCTTGATGGAGATAATGTATATACATATCCTTCTAACACAGTTTGAACAGCATTTAAACTTCTACTAAAGTTTTCTCACTTAGCATTTTTGGCAGTGGTAGAACATTAGCGGTCAATTTTAGAAATTTTTGTTTCCAATAAGAATGGAGCCATTACCAAATACAATTTATCCAAAATTATGATTTATCCAAATATCTAATATAGAAATGAGAATGATTATTTCTCTAGAACTCTTCATCATCTGTGTTTTACGTCATGTTTGTCTTTCTTTATGAGACTAGTTTTACAGATACATTTTATTTTATTTTTTTGTTTTTTGAGACAGAGTCTCACCATGTAGTTCAGAGTGGCCTTGAAAAATCCAAAATTTTTAAAAAGCTTCAAATTTTGGAGCCTTTTAGATTTTGAATTTTCAGATTAAGGATACTCAGCCAGTATTCCAAAATCCAAAATAATTCCAAAATTTGAAATACTTCTGGTCCAAAGGATTTTGGATAAAAGATTCTCAGCCTGTATTATGGAGAGACTAACACTTAGATGATACCCTTGAGAACCTTCCTGTTTAGATAGGGAAAGAAGAAAGTCACAAGACGGTTTACTAGGTGAAGTTCTGAGGAAAAAAATAGGTATAAATATAATCATATGAACTAGTTCTCTAAGTATGGTTTGTGCACTCCTGGGAGTCCTGAGATCCTTTCAGGGGGTTCTTGAAGTCAGACTCTTTTCACAGTGATTCTGATTATTAGTCGTTTTTTACTTTCACTCTCTCATAAGCATTTGCTACAGTTTTTTAGAGGCCAGATGACATGTGAGATCTCAAAAGAATGAATGCAGTAGTCTTGACAATCTAGCTTTTGTTAAGTCAGATTAAGGAGAGTTTTAAAAAATGCATGCTTATTTTATGTAGTTATTTTTTATTTAAAAATTGTTTATGTCAACATTAATGGATTTGCTGTTATTTTTTATTTTTTTAATAAATTAAATATTTTTTAAATTCTCAGTTTTAATTTTTTCTTTTCTTTTTGTTCCCCCCCAGTACCAGGGATCAAACTCAGGACCTTGCACTTGCCAGGCAGGCACAGCACCACTGAGCTGCATTCCTGGCCCATTTTCTAAATAAATATCCATTGATATAGCCACATAAACTAAAACTTTTGGAGCATCTCAAAAATTTTTTGACTGTGAAATAGCCTGAAACTTAAGAAGTTTGAGAATTGCAAAACAAACAAGGTGAAATAGAATGGAGGAGTAGGTTCATTCAGCCTGTTGGTGGAGCTTCAGATGAACTGGAATGGCCAACTTAGGGACGAGAAGGGTATTTCATATGGAGGCAAAGTTGCAAATGTGTGAAAAGGACTTATATTCATTAGACCCTCTGGCACTTAGCTAGCCAGAAACCACAGTTTGCATGAAACATAGTGTGACAGATTAATTTCACATTATGGACTGTGTTGAATGATAGCTTAATACTTGATTCTGTGAAATGAGAGAAATGATGATAGGTTGTGTCTCCTGAGACACATTGATAACAATCTTATTTTAATACAAATTAATGCTGTCAGTGGCATATGGTAGATTCTGAAGCAAGATACATTATTAGAATTAGAGTGACCTATTAGATGGTATTTGGTCATTGATATGTGCAGTGATGAGGGTTTAAACTTGGCTTCATGGTAGTGAAAATGAAGAGTAAGAGATGAATATAAGGGTTAAAAAGTAAGACTGCATGATTGAGTGACTGACAAGGTAGTAAAGAGTGTGGGGTAAGGGTGGTATTCAGAGCACTTAAGATCTTTATTGTTGTTTTCTGATTTTCACCAAGTGCTTATTCTGGGTGAGGACACAACGTCAAACCCTGGGAACACATACAACAGGAGAGTGCCTTCAGTGATTTTAGCCTGGTTGACTTTCCTCAGCTATACTCTAGGAGCAGCAAGTAGTTGCAAAGCCTCCTGATATCTCCCTCAATTTATGTCTTTTTACCTTCCTCTCCCTTTTCTTAATCATGTGGTTGGAGAATGGAAGAAAGAAATGGTAGCATGATTTCTGGTACATTATTGACACATAACATGTCTTAAATTTTTCACATGCCCAGTAGCTCATAATATTGGTTCCTGAGCTGCCAAATCTTGATGCTGTTTGTCAAAAACCTGGTACCTATCAAGAAATTAAGCCTAACAGTCTTTGGCAAGGCCTGTTAAGCTGGATTTGACCCTTGGAATAATCCTTATTAGCTATATTTAGCTAATAATGGTTATTCTTAGCTAATGGTAGTTACCTAAAGCGTTGTAGCAATGAATATATTCAGAGCCATCTGTAATAAGGTACAGAATTCATGGCATACAGGAAGGTCCCAGTATATAATTAATTCAATTTTTTAAATAACAAGAAATATAGGAACTCAGGCCCACTGAAGATTGGAAGAGATAGAATTAGGAAAAATAAAAGTTGTATTTTTGACAGTTGATACTAATACCCAGAAAAGTTTAGTTTTATCTGGTTATAAGTAATGAAAACATAGAAATTATTAAGAAATGTTAATATAGTTAAATGAATGAGAGGTAAATATGGGATGATTATTTTGACTATACAATAATCTCTTATCCACAAGAGATTCATTCCGAGACCTCTAGTGGGTACCCAAAACCACAGATAGTACCAACCCTTCATAGACTATCTTTCTTCATATACAAACTTAACTATGGTAAAATTTAATATTTAAATTAGAATCTGTGTAACCATCTCCTATTTGTAGTAAATGGTTTGATGTCATTCATTTTTAGGGGAGCCCTTATAAAATCTTTGTGTAGGCTCCTTGCTTTTTGATACAACCTGTCAATTGGAACACATTTTCTGTTCATATTTTTTGCCTACAAATTTAGTCTTTTCCATTTTATCTAAGCATTTATCACTCACTCTGGCCATAACTTGGAATTTGAGGTATGACAGCAAAATTAGCACAAATGTTTTCCCTTCCCTATACTTTCACAGATTTGTTCTTACTATTGATCTTAGTAACCTCAGCATATGATTTTTTTAAGTCTGAACTTTTACGTTTTCACTTAAAGCAGTTAACAGCTTCTTTTTGTTGTATATGAATTGCCAACTCCACTACTCTTGTTCTTTGGAACCATTAACATGAACACAGATACTGAGATACCATGATAGTCGATCTTACAGCCAAGGCTATGAGTGACTAACAAGCAGGTATCATATACACTGTGGATATGCTGCATGAAGAAAAATAATTCCTATCCCATTTATAGGATGGCACAGTTTCATCATACTGCCTAGAATGGTACAAATTTTAAAGCCATTAGCTTCATAAAATTGTTTACGTCTTGAATTTTCTTCCACTTACTATTTTCAGACCACACTTGACCAGAGTATCAGAAGCACAAAAAGAAAACCACAGATAAAGGGGGAAACTACTGTATATTTTGGAAAGAGTTATAAAAGATGGTTAGTTAAGAAAGAAAAAGAGAGGTAAACGTTCGTGCATTCTAGGCTGAGGCTAGGATATATAGGGCATTTATAGTTTTAAAACAAGTTTGTCACCTGAGCAAAAGTGGCTTACTAGTTGCTGTCATGGAATAAGAATGTGACATACATTCTTTTTTGTGGCTATATAAAAGCAATGTGGCAGTGACATTCAGTATTAGATACTGATTTTTTTCTATTCATACTTTGGGGGGGGCGGGTATTGGGGATCGAACTCGGGTCCTTGCGCTAGCAAGGCAGGTGGCGGAACCACTGAGCTAAATCCCCAGCCCACTGTTCATATTTTAGATGAAATAAGAGTTAGAAATGAAGAAAAAAATTCACTTAATCTTATGGAGAACTAATTCTGTTTAGAAAATAATTTAGTATTTTTCATTATTCTGCATCACAGTAAAAGAACACCATAGTAATTTTGAAAACCTACTGTAGTAATTGAAATTAGCAACTAGCCTTTGTATTTTAATGTTTCTTAATTTATATTTTTGAAATACATGTTTTTTCAGGCTTGCCGTATCCCAAACAAGCACCTCTTCTCACTAAATGCAGGAGAACGAGGATGTTTTTGTCTTGATTTCTCCCATAATGGAAGGATATTAGCAGCAGCCTGTGCCAGCCGGGATGGATATCCAATTATATGTGAGAAATGATCCTACCTGTTTAATCTGACTGTAGTCTTTGTGATGGACATTTGTTTGGTTTTTAAAATTCATTGAAATCTTAATTTGAGTAATCCTCAGTACTGGTAAATTAAAGAAGACAGATTTCTTCACATAAACAGTTCTTTTTACTCTAACCATTGAAAAATAAAGTGAGAATGTTAAATGAAAGGTGTTAATTTTTTAAACATGCAGAAAGATTTTTGTAAACATTTTCTATTTTACATACAGAAATTTAAAAATATGAAGAATTCATCTCATGGAGATTAATATAGTTAGATGATAGAGGTAATAATTTGAATTAGAAGAGCCCAGAAATTTTTTGTGCACTAGAACAATAGGGATTGCCTCAGAAGTACCTAGATGAAGACTTATCGTTATGATTGACAAATTAGCAAAGAGGCCAAGAAAAATGGTTTTTGTAGCTTTAGAATATTTATTTTTTTTTAGCAAGCATTATCATACTGTTGAAGCATTCAACTCAGTTCCTTATTTTTGGCTCAGTAATGAAAACCAGCTTTTTTTCAGCAGGAAGAAGCCCTAAACACTAGTTTATGATAAACTTCACATATGTCCTCAGCTTTACATATGCAGTGTGATCGAAAAGTACAGTGAGTGTTTAAATTTTAACAAATGTATTACAGTTAAAGGCATATTGCCATGAATCCTTCTCAAGAAACCCCCCACCCTGCTTCAAACACACTTATCCCATTCTTTTTGCCACTTTCTGAAGCAGCTCTGGAAATGCCTTTTTGTCACTCTTAATTGAATTTTTGTGGCTAACTCCATGTCCTGAATTGGATCAAAATATTTATCTTTTCATGATTATTTTGATTCTGGGAAAGAGCAAATGGTGCTAGATCCAGTGAATAAGGTAGATAAAGGACACACTGTTACGTTTCTATGGGCCTGTCTTTACATTGGATGGCACTCAGCAGCAGCAGCAGCTTCACTATATTTTTGATCATGCTTCGTAAAGACGCAAAAGAAGACTTCTGGAACTTCTTCAGTAGTGGCAAGAATAATGGGAGAATGTGTCAAATTAATATGTGTTCAAATGGCAATGTGTTTTTCACTAATTTTTAAAAGTTAGACATTTATTATGTATTTTGATCATACCATATAGTGATTCACTTCTTTTTCAGCAGGGACTCCTAGTTGAGTTAACTGGCATTTATTAAATTAATATTCCTTCCTATGAAATAATAAGTTTTTCAAAATATTAAAAATTATTTGTGTAGCTTGATTAACCACTGTGCTGGTTTAAAATTCACTGAAAACCTGTATGTAGGGGGAAAAGATTTTTGGGAAACATGCTCCAAAATACTAATACTGTAGTGATTTCTTTCTTTCAGTTAATGAATTGTTTTCATTATGATTTATGTGTTTTAAATTTTTGTGATAAACTTGTTACATTATACTTAATTGTTGGTGATGCTCTGGATTTAGAGGTATGTATTGCTTAAATTTTAAAAAACAGAAAATGGAATCTTTGTCCTTGGTTCATGACTATGATTATGTTGTGTCTAAACTTAGAATTTGTTTCATTTGTTAATGTGCGGATTAATGTTTTTCCTAAATTTGGGGATTATTCAGTCATTATTTCTTCATGTTTTCTGTTTGCCTCTTTCTTTTTATTCTTCTGGGACCTCTATTATGCCTGTGTTTGTAGACTTAAGGGTGTCCCACAGGTCTCTGAGGCATACTCATTTTTCTTCACTCTTTTTCTTTCTGTTCCTTGATCTAGATAGTTTCAAGTGATCTGTCGTCAAGTTCAGTAATTCTTCTGCCTGTTCATATCTTTTGAGCCCCTCTGGTGAATTATTTCAGTGATTGTATTTTTTAAGCCTAAAATTTTTCTTCAGTCCTTTTTTGTTGTTTCTTTTTCTTTACTGGTACTCTGTTTTTTGGTGAGAAATCATTCCTAAAGTTTAATTCTTCAGGTATGATCTTTGTTAATCTTTGAATATATTCGTAATAATAGATTTAAAGTTTTTGTTGAAAAAGACCAATGCCTGGGCTCCTTCAGTTTCTATATGAACAGTTTCTGTTAACTGCTTTTTTCTCTTTTTATAGGTTATACTTTTCTTGGTTTTTTTCCATGTCTCATAATTTTATGTTAAAAACTGGATATTTTAAATAAGCTAGTGAGGCAGCTCTGGAAATCAGATTTCTCTTTTTCACCCTTCTCATCCACCCAGGATTAGTTATTGTTGAAGTTTCTTTAGTAACTTTCTTGGGCTAATTCTGAGAAGCCTTCATCCTTGTCATGTAGTTGTCATGTAGTGTAGTCTCTACTCCAGTTAAGAATAAACTGATGACTTGGACAGAGATTTTTGTTAAATACTTTTGAGTAGATAGGTCTGACGTCCTTTTCCAGAGGGCTGTGTGTGTTTGTGTGTGTGTTGGGATATCCTTTCAGAGCTTCAGGCAATTAAAAACTCTGCCTTCACTTCCCGTTTGTTCAGCGTCTCCTTGGGTCAGCTGGAGTGAGAGAGAAAGCCTCTTAGGTTTTGCTTGGCTGTGCACACAAACCTTTCTTTATATACATGCATGGGAATCCTTCTAGAATCTTAGGTGTACAGTATTTTGGAGCTTTTCAAGGTCTTGTAGGGCCATCTTGTTGCCAGGTTTGCATTTTAAATTTTTTATTGAGCCTCTTCTTAGCCCCAAGTGCTGTTACCACCTGTGGCAGCTGTAGTGTGAAATGGTGCCACTCACTGTTTCAACATGCACTCCAGAGTTTTGGCTGCTTGTATAAAGTTTGTATTGACCCAGGTCAGGTAAAGGCAGGCGCTGAGAATGGAGCCTTTCATGGAGCTTCCAGACTGTCTAACAGTGGTCTTTGGGGATGGAGCTTTTAGGAATCTACAGACCGGTTCTGCAAAATTCAGTGACTGTTAGGCTCCTGATATTCACCTGTTTTTAAGGCTATTTTACAGTTCAAGAGAGGAAAATGGAATAGGGCCAAGTTAAAAATACCAGAAAGCTCGATATTCTTACTGATATTCATTCATTTTTCTTGAATAAATATTCATCAGATTCTTACAAGCTGTGCTTAACTTCCAGAGTTCTGCAACATTGTTTTGAGAACTTTTGCCACAGTTCCTATTGCTTTCACGGGGGAGTAGATTTTCCAAGGTCCGTAGTTTGCTATTCCAGTACTTCTGATCTTCTTAGCATTGTAGTTAACCACTAGGTGGCGGTAGAGACTTGGAGACTTGGTTTCTGTGATTTTTACTGTGTGAAACATACAATAGCACAGTGCTGTCTATCAGATTGAATTACTGCTAATTACCTTACTCTCTGTCATTTTGTATTGAAATTGAAATTTTTTCCTGACAGTAGCTTAAATTTCTCATTACTTAAAATAATTACAATTTTGGTTGCCATTTAGTTGATTTTCAAGTAAAATAATACCTTATTCATGAAACCCCAAATTACAGAGTATTTGAAATTAATTATAATGTAAATACTATTTGTTATCTGGCTAACAAATTGATTAACAAAGATTTATGGGGCATTGTTTTGAAGAAATAAGAATAATTGATGGCATATTATAGTACATTATGAAATTTTAGGATATTATAAAATTTTGTGTGTAAATTCTTCTTCCTGAGCAAAGCAAATGAAAAACTAATCTTTTTTGATTTTTTTCTTTCTTTTTTTGTTTTTAATGCAGGCTCTCATTATGTAGTTCAGGCTGGCCTTGAACTCACTATGTAGTCCGGGCCGGCCTCGAATAAGAAACTTCTTAAGTAGATTTTGAAATTTTGTTTATACTGGAAATATCTTTGGTTATAATTTTCATGCTGACTGCTTAATTTATTTCTAAGTTATTATAAATTGTATATTTATATATTATTGGATTAATGATCCACTGCCTAGAAACCTACTGATTTCTAAATATTCTTATTAGTATATGAAATTCCTTCTGGACGTTTCATGAGAGAATTGTGTGGCCACCTCAATATCATTTATGACCTTTCCTGGTCAAAAGATGATCGCTATATCCTTACTTCATCGTCTGATGGCACTGCCAGGTTAGTATACTCTAGAAGTACCTATTGTGTATGTTCTTTACCATCAAAGAAAGCTGAGAAAATATAAAGTGATGTAAATACCCTTATGCTTCAGTTATATTTTATCTATGAAATGACCACCATAAATATGCAGACTAAATAGTACTAAAACTTTTTTCTTGAAGGCATTTTTCTTAAGTATCTCTTATTAATAAACATGTAGCATTTCTGATCCTCGCCATCTTTAAACAATCATTACATAAATTGTTTGATTAACACTTTGAGATGAGGTTATTAAACACTTGAGATTTTTCTTAGAACATAAACTCTTGATGGCAGGGATCCTGTCTTCATATTGGCTAGATGTAGAGGCTGGAATCCAGTGGACCTCATTACATAAATGTAGAGGAAATAAATAAGTATCATATGTTGTTAAGAGTCATAGATGTTAAATATTTGCATTCTCACAATATCAGTCTTAAATTATCCCATTTCAACTTGTGTCACAATAAAACATTTTAAAAGCTAATTCCTAAAGTTCACTTATAATTTGTTTTAGCTTCTTGTTTGACTTTGCTTGTGTTCTATAAATACTATTAGATAATTTTCAAGATGGTTTTTATATACATCATTTAACTTAATTCCAAAAGACATTTGCCATAGTCTTCATGATATGTAAGAGCCTTTGAGAACCATACCAGCTTTACTGTCATTTACATCTGCTACATCCTGTTCTCTTAACATGTAATATGACTTTTTATATCTGGGTCCTTTTACTAATCTAATCAATCTCCTTTTCTATATAAAATATCTAATTAATCAAGATATTATCATTGTTTAATTTTATATTTAAATGTAAAAGGGAACAATTGATTTTACTCTGTTGAACTAGGAAACTACTATTAGTCCCCCTTAACAGTATCCTCAGGAACTCACCTGGTTATTTCTTTTTTTTGGTACTGGGGATCAAACTCGGGCCCTTGCGCTTGCGAGGCAGGAGGCGGAACCACTGAGCTAAATCCCTGGCCCACACCTGGTTATTTCTTGTAGCACACTCATTCTGTCTGATACCAGGTAATGCTAGAGAATAATGCATAGCTTTACTAAGGTGTAATTATGGATTGGTAAGTCTTTTAGTCACCCGCACTCTCATCCCTGCTGAGCAATCTTTTTATTTATCTTTATTCAGCTCCTTTTTCTCATCCATCTGGCAGCAGAAACAAACCTGACCACTGCCCAATTTCTCTACAGCAAATCAGTCTTCCCATTTTTATTAGATGAGTGCCTTTAGTTTACAGTCAAATTTAGACAGACATGAGCTTCCAGAATTTCCCTCTAGTTTTCCCCCTAATATCTGTAACTATACTCATCTTTACCTCTACTGTGGTAAAATTACCTTTCCAAAACACTTTTTCATAATGCTTTGTCTTTAAAAAGTCTTTCAGTACCCATTGCCCTTTGGAAAGTTTTCCATTAGCTTAGGATGGCATAATAGACATATCCCTCATTGATTAACCTTACGTTCTTCTTATATGCGTTTGGCATGTACCCTTTGTCTGACCTACACTATGTTTTGAAATACCCTTAACATCTTACCTTTGGCATCTTAGTGCCCTTTTACCTTACTTATTCCTATACTTAAATGCCCCTCCCTTCCTCTTCCTGCCTAACTCATTTCATTCACCAAAAATTTATTAAGTATCCTTTGTGAGCTACTCAGTTATCATGTAAATTCAGCTCAAATTTCACCATATCTTTGGGTTTCTCAAATAACATATAGTATATTAAAGTGAGGTATGTTTTTATGTATTTTTAATTGGTATTTAGATTCTTTGTATCATAAAAATATTGTGAAAGTATTAACTGAATGAAAAGAGAAGCCTCACAGCTAAAATCAAAGACAAGGAAGTTTTTAAAAGAGATTAAGAATGCTTGTAATGAGTAAGCCCAAGTCAAAAGGAAGAAAGTTAGAATTCCTCATGCTCACAGTGGAGGATTGTGGGTTTTGCTCATGTCTACTCCTTCTGTGTTCCTGGGAATCACTGCCACCTGTTATTTTTAGTGTCTCCTAAGCATTAATTTCTCACTGCCCAGCTCTCTCTCTGGCACATGGCTTTAGCCTACATCCCCTGTAGTTATTTCCAGAATAAGCTGTGTTTTTCTCAAGTCAGCATCTTTTAATGCAATCTAAAGGACTTTCCATGTGTAATGGCTCTCTTGTAGGCCCATGTTCCCACAAGACCCACTCTGGTATGTATGTACTATTTTAACTTTGTTGGTTTTTTTCTTGAAATCTATTAATTTTTGTGTGTTCATCCAGTCTTTACAAATTTGTGTTTCCTCATCCTCAGCAAGCAGCCTGATTTTCCTCCAAATCCATTATTTCAATCTTTCATTCTACCATTACCTGGGAAACAAAAGCCATCACTGATAATAGTTCAGATTTTACACAAAAAGGTTTATTTTAATTTTTGAAATACTGTGTCTGTTTTAATGTATTGGGATGTTTTGAAAATATATTTGCCTTACTTCTGCCTGTTATATAGTATTTAAAAAATGATGCAAAGATTAGCAAGCAACTGAGGTTTTTATCTTTTAATTATTGTAATACTCCCTTCAAATTAGCAATTTTGTTCTTTTAATAAGTATCCTATTTCATATAACATACATTCATTGAAAATTTTACTGTGGTAAAAATGTTTATGCAGGGACACACATTCTTTATTTTCACTTAAAATCGTGTTCTTTCACTTCCTTCGCTATTAGTTTGGATTCTTGGTACTGTAATTGAAGACCATATCCTATATTTTAAGCAGCTACTGAGAAAACTCTGATGTTATTCTTGAATAGCCAACTGTATTTTTTCCTTTATTTATAATTTTGTAAAGGACATAATTTGCTTTAATTCTTAGACAGAAATTAAAAAGATAAACCAAAAATCCTCATAGGAAAATATAACATATTCCTCTCATTCTAATAACTTAAGCCACTGTTCCACATTCATATAGCACCTATGTGTTGCTAGATTTGACTATTATTGCACATTGCTAGAAATTTAAAATATCTAACAAAATAGTTTAACCCTTGGGGTTTACTCTTTGATCTAGACTGTAGCAGTAATAATCTTAAATTTTTTTATAAATCAACCATTAGAGGAAGATATATGAGAATGTTAAACAGAAAGGAAATGCCTAATTTAGGATAGTATGATTTCTATCAAGAATTCAGAGTAATTTCAATATAACTTTTAAGTCTCTGGAATCTTCATGTTTGTTTTATAGGCTATAAAATTACAAATATGAAAGTTAATGAAGTATCTTATTCTCTAGACTCCTACTACTAAGCATTTTCCAGAAGCAATATACACAACATAAATGGGATGTCATTTACATTTTTTCCCTATATTTAAAAATATATATATAATATATTACCATCTATTCAATGTGTGTTTAGTCAGTGTCAAAAATAGGTAGATTTAAAGAGTGGATATGTCTAAATACAAATATAGTTTTTAGTTTTACAGAATAGAATACGCTTTGTCAAAATGTTCTAGCCATCAAATATGTGATCATAGTCATAATTTTATTGTTATAAATATTAGTTTACCATTGGTTGTTGTCATTTACTTACATAATTAAATTTCTGTCTTTCAGAAGCAATATGTAACTTTTTATCCTTTTCCAGGATATGGAAAAATGAAATAAATACTACAAATACTTTCAGAGTTTTGCCTCATCCTGCTTTTGTTTACACGGCTAAATTTCATCCAGCTGTAAGAGAGCTGGTGATTACAGGATGCTATGATTCTGTGATACGGGCATGGAAAGTTGATATGAGAGAATGTTCTGCTGTATTGGTCCAACAATTTGATGCTCACAAGAGTTTTATCAACTCTCTCTGTTTTGATGCTGAAGGTATTTTAGAGGATATATTCCAAATGAGGGCTAGTTACATGAAGAATTCATTTTTTTATTTCACTAATAGTTATCAGACTTTGAGAAGGATGTTATAAAATTGATGATTACTTGTGCATATTTTGGCTTATTATATTTTGCGGGTCACATGAGGTCACTGAGGGAGTTCTGTAGAATTTTAAAGTTGTTTAATTCCTAAACATTTAAATTCAGTCAGTCTTTGCTCTAACAATGTCATGTTATCTTTTACGTTAAAGAGTAGATTGGTAGGGGAAAAAAAATCCCCAAAGAATGTTGCAGATATATATGTTAAATGTAACAAAAGAATTTTTTTAAAAGTTCACAAACATATAGAAGGAAAAATTGCAATTAAAAGGTTCTCTTAGTATATAAATAATATGGATATTTTAAAGATGTAAAATGTACTTTGTTTTATGGGGTGAAAGAATAAAGAAATTTATTGTATCTGTTAATCACTTTTTAAATTTCAGAAACTAGGCATTTAGCCTATAGCTATAACTAATTAAAATAAGATCTAGATCAAAATGATAATATTGCTGATGTACTCAATTCAATAATAAATTTACAAAGGCCCTGAATAGAAAAGTATCTGAAAACTCTGATAATAGAAGTAGCTCACGTTATAAAAGAAAAATGGTTTTTTAAAAATAGTTATTCATAAAATATGCAAATATGAAAAAAAGGGAAATCAGTCTATGTTGCTCCTGCAGATGGAGATGTGACCAAAGCTGCAGAAGACAGATTTTTCTTTGCTCAGAAAGAAAAGCAACATTCTAACACATGGAGTGGTTTACCAGTTAAATAAACTGTTTTGTAAAGTATTAAATTCACAGTTGCCAAGCAGCCATCTGTCAGTAATAGTGTACAAGATATTCCTGAGTAGCTATGAAAATTGAACTTGATGGTCTCTGAGGTCCCATTCAACTTCAAGATAGTTTAACTCAAAAGAATCGATGCTAAACTGTTAACACTTGTTACTTATTATTTTATTCACTCCCTGATCATTTATTTAAGATTTCTGGTTCTCAGGTATTATGCTAACAGTGTCTATTAGAATATAGGTATTTTCTAGGACTATTAGACAGAATATATCAGTAGTAAAGATGAAGAATATATATGTATTGAATAATTTGGCTATGGAAAATGGGCCTTACATGCACTGAGGTACTCATTTCTTTTTGTATTCACATACTGGCAAGTGACAAGGGAAATATGTCATCAAAAATAATTTAAAAGAGGGAAGTACTAATGTAAATATAATTGGGATTAGAATGTGAGTTATTTTTGCTATTTTGGATTTTTAAACTAAAATAACTTTTAATAGCCTTTTGTTTCCTTGACTGTGTTAATGGGTTACAGTTCTGCAACTTCCTATCATTTGTGACATTCCTAAGTGAGTAATTTTACTTTTTTAAATAGGTCATCACATGTATTCCGGAGATTGCACAGGAGTGATTATTGTGTGGAATACTTACGTCAATGTTAATGATTTGCAACATTCAGTGTGCCACTGGACTATAAATAAGGTATGAAATCATATTTTACAGTTGGGGTTTAGTTAGAAAAAATTTCAACCACATGACTTTAGGGTAGGAAGTAAGGACAATCTATTCTACATTTTCAAAAAATAAAGTTTTTCTCAGTCCCTAAAAAGTCAGTTATCTTCAATCAACTATTATATTCTGCCTGATTGCTCTTTCATAAAAACTTAGTGAAGATTTTCATTTTGGCGAGTTCACTTTCAGTCCTTTAAAAAAAATTTTTTTGTTGTTGTTGTGTGTGTGTTGGTGTGTGCACATATATGTGCATGTATTGGAAATCAAACCAGGGCCTTGCACATGCTAGACAAGTACTGTACTGCTGAGGTCTACCCCACCAACCCCATCTTCAGTCTTTTGAGCCCCAGTTTGCACTCTGGCATTAGCTGGAGTTTACAATAAAGTAAGGTGTATGTAATGTTATATCACCATCTGTAAGTCATGATTTTTATCTTTTATTATATCCTTTGCTTGGTCCAGTAACATCTCTCTAATACAGTGTGCTCAATCAGCAGTGCTGTCCTTCAGCATTATTGAATTATGATTTGGGTCCTTGTAATTAATTTTATTGATCTATGGTTTTTATTTTTTAGTTTAAAATGTAACTAAAGGGCCGGGGATTTAGCTCAGTGGTGCCACCGCCTGCCTCGCAAGCACAACATCCTGAATTCGATCCCCAGTACCAAAAAAAACAAAAACAAAAACAACAAAAAAATGTAACTAAAAATTAAAAAATCTTCAAACTTGAGTTTGTTTTACATAAATTGATATAATTTCTGCCTGCCATATTATATGCATGTTCTTGTGTTTTTCACACTAACTTATGATAATAGCTGTCTTCCTTTGGGAACAAAAAGATACCCTAAAAGAAAAAGAATTTCTGTGAAGTTTAGTTAAATCTTTTTGTCTGTGAGATCTGTTTTAAAAACTCTATTCTATTTTTAATAATTATCTGATCTGTCAAATTAATGATTTCTTGAGATTCATCATGTGGCCTAATTTTGCACACTTTGAAAAGAACTTTCTAATTACATACCAGAGGGACTGGCAAGTCTCCAAAGGCCCTAATTTCAGTCTTCTGAGTGTACAGTACAGAATTTATCATTTATTATAAAACGTATCTTAACCTTTATGTACTAAGATACAAATTTATCTTGAAAATCTATAGCTTGGTCATTACTTCAGACAGTCAAAAATAATGATTTAGAAAATAAGCTGCAATGTCTTTAGTAGCAAATGCTATGTGACACATTGAAGGCTGTGATTTCATACTTGGCTGTATTCAGTCAGCAGTGTGGGGAATGCTGTTACATTTATCTGTCCCTTAAGGATTAAGTATCCATTGCTTTTTCAGTTTGAACATGAATGTGATAAAGAAAAATATGAGGAAATCACTAGATAATATAGACATTAGATCTGCCAGCAACTTTCTCAAGTTTATACCCAACACTTGTTCTGCAGTTTTTAGATTTTGCATGTTTGCATCTGTTTCAGTTGATCAAATCCTCACCCATGCCGCCCCACCTCAGATTTGTTATAGTTTAGCCACTAAAATCCCCATCTGTTGTGTCAGTGCTTCACTGTTTTCTGTGACTTTAAAAAAGAAAAATCAGACAGCAGGTTTTAGTGTCAGTCAGCAGTAGCAGGCTGAGCTGCCAATATGAGGGATACCTCATATTAGTTCATGTACCCCCAGCCTAAATCTCCCCATTCTTCCAACTCATCAGAACTGGTTCTCTGTATATTTGAATTTTTTACGTATTTTTTAGGTATCACATATAAGTGAAATCATATAATATTTTGTAGTACTTTCCTTTCTTTGACTTATTTCACTTAGTGTAGTTTTCTTCAGGCTCATCCACATTATGGCAAATGGCAAGATCTTTTTTTTTTTTTTGGTACCGGGCATCGAACTTGGGTCCTTCCGCTTGCGAGGCAGGCAGCGGAACCACTGAGCTAAATCCCCGGCCTCCGGCAAGATCTTAATTCATTTTTAGGGCACACACATACTGTGTGTGTGTGTATGATAATTTATCTGTTTCCTGGACATTTAGGTTGTTTCCATATCATGACTATTGTGAATAATACTGTGGTGGACATAGACGTGCAGATATCTTTAGGTGGTGATTTTGTTTCCTTTGGTATTTGCCCAGAATGGGGATTTCTAGGTCATATGGTAGTTGTATTTTTAATTTCTTTAGAAACCTCCATACTGTTTCACAACGGCTCTCCCGTTCTACATTCCCAACAACAAGGTAGAAGAATTCACTTTTCTCTGCAACTTTAGCAACATTGGTTATCTTTTGACTTTTTGATTACTGTTCTAATAAGTATAAAGTGTAATCTCATAATGTTTGTAATTTACATTTCTCTGGTGTTTAAATGTTGATTATCTTTTCATATACTTGATCATTTTTATGTCTTCTGTGGAGATTTGTTTATTCAGTTCTTTGTCCATTTTTTTTTTTGCTTAAATTCTTTTATTGGTACATTTTAGGTATACACTACGTTTACATTTATCATTGGGTGCTTGTACCTGTACATGATGTATCTTGGTTCTTATTTTTTCCTCATTCCCTGTGCTTCCTTCCCTATTTACAGAGACTTTCCATTTTCTTTGTCCATGCTTTTGCATTACTGAGTCATATGAGTTCTTTATAAATTTTGGATATTAACCCTTTGAGAGACATATGGCAAATAATTTTTCCCAGTGTGTAAACTACCATTTAATTTTGTTGTTTACTTTACTGTGCAGAAAGCAGCTTTTTTTTTTTTTTTGGTACTGGGCATTGAACTCGGGTCCTTGTTCACGAGAGACAGGCAGCAGAACCACTGAGCTAAATCCCTGGCCCAAGAAAGCAGCTTTTTAATTTAATTTAGTCCCATTTATTAATTTTACTTTGCGACCTGAGCTTTTGGTGTGATACCCAAAGAAATTATTGCTAAGGTAAGCTGGGCATGGTGGTGCACACCTGTAATCCCAGCAGTTGCAAGACTGAGGCAGGAAGATAGCCATGAGATCAAGCCTAGACAACTTCATAGCGAGATCTTGTGTCAAAACACTGAAAAAAAAAAAAAAATTGCCAAAGCTATTATTCAGAAACTTTTCCCTTTTGTTCTCTTCTGGGAGTTTTATACTTTTCAGCCTTACACTTAGATCTTTCACCCATTAAAAGTTGATTTTAGCGCATGGTGTAAGGTATAAGGGTAATCCTTCATTAGTTGAGTATCTTCTGTAGCTGCCTCAAATAACCAACCAAAAGAAAAGAAAAAAAAAAAAACCTCACTATAATTTAAACTAAATTATTTCAGAATAAGAGGCCTATAACATGCTATACTTAAGACAAATGGAAGTGTAAGAAGAGTCTGAAGCTAGATAGAAAATTAGTTTTGAGTTTATAAAGCTTGGAAGCTTTTTTATATTATATTAACAGCGTTTAAAGTTGATTTTGTACTCTTAAAAAATGTGTAGCTTTAAACAAACTTTTCAATATTAGTATGTTTTATTTTTCTTATCATTTTAGGAAATTAAAGAAACTGAATTTAAGGGGATTCCAATAACTTATTTGGAGGTTCATCCCAATGGAAAACATTTGTTAATTCATACCAAAGACAGTACTTTGAGAATTATGGATCTCCGAATGTAAGCACATATTATTATAGAATAAGAATAAGGAATGAATAAGAATAAGTAATGAATGAATTTATATTTATAAAATGCAACAGAGATTCTTAGAGGAAATTTTGCTCTCTAGGAATATCTGGCAGTGTCTGGAGATGTTTTTGATGTTGCTTCTATTATCTGATGGGTAAAGATCAGAGATGCTAATATGCGTCCTAGAGCTTATTGGAAAACCCCCTACAGAAAGAAGTGTCTGGCCTCAAATGTGAACTGCTCTAAGGTTAAAATGTAATTGTTTGTTTTCTATTTTCACAATTATAAACAGAAACTTCTTCCTTCAATAGTGACAGAGTATCTTTTATCTCTATGATACTGGTATAGCATATATTATGACATAATAAGGACTGAAGGAGATGGCTTTTGATTAATTTATGTGTTTTTCTTTTAATTTTAAATAAAGGTAAATGCGGGAAAATATCTTTAATGTAAAAGCCAGAGCAGAATTCTGAGAAAATCAGCATGGATTTCTAATAGTGTTAAAGTTGCTGTAAAACAAATGAGAGACAGAGCTCTTTTATTAGATTTCCCTAATGTATTTAGGAAGGGAAATGTGATACTTTATATTAATTTGATTCTCCAAGTACCTTCTTAGTCCTGACCATTAAGCCCTTTAATATTTACATAGAACAATCCAAGACCCTCGCATGGGAACAGTGGGAGAATGGTAGCAGGATTATCGCATCAAGAATTTATGATCTAGTTGCACACCTCCAAAATAACACTGGAAACATTCAGTTAGATTAAAATATGAGAGCTTCGAGGATTAGAATCTCCTTATTCTTTTTTCTATATGAGCATTCGTGTCATGCCTGGCAGATAGCAAGTATACAGTTTGTATTTTTTAATGAATATAAACATATAATAAAAAGATTATATTCTTCACAGGAAGAATAACACTGACAACTATAATATCTTCTGTTAATGACTTTATTGAGAAGCTGGCATTTGAGGTCCGTCTTGAGTGATAGATAGAATTTAGATAAGATAGAAGTTTTTCAGTAGAATGAATAACATCAAATCAAGTTTAGGGGTGAAATAATACGTGTTCAAGGCAGAGAAATTAGTCAATATGAGCATAGGTTTCTTGACTAGGAATACTGAAAGGGAATTTTTAGAAATAGAAATTAGACCTAGAGTAGAAGGCCAGGCAGAGGAGTTTGGCTATTCCCTTTTTAGACAAGGTGAGATCATGCTTAGGCTCAAGGAGTGAGATGCTGCCCTTTCCACCCTTACTAGCTGATTAACCTCTCTGGGCCTGTCTTTACTCATGTCTCAGACAGAAGTAATATGCTATCCTCAGTGGTCTTGTGAAGGAATAAGCTAGTTAGTATGTGTATAGTACTTATAACAGTAAAGCACATAGCAAGGACTCTGGAAATGTTTGACCCAGAAATTACAGGTCTGGGAATTTATGTCAAGAAAGTAATCGGAAAACAGTGCAAATATATAGATAACACATGAAAAAAATTGTTCATAGAAATCATGTTTGTGGTAGAGGAATGCTGGAAACATCCTAAATGTTGTCCAACAATAGAAAATTTCTTAAGATATTTTCAGACAATAATACATACTCATTAAAGTGACAGTGCAGGTCCACTACTCATCATCTATTCTTGAGTGAAGAAACAGGTTACAGAGGAGTGTATCTAATCCTGCCTGACTTCTAGTAAGTGTTGCGACATATTTCAAAAGTGAAAATATCTGCTTGTATATCATATTGAATAGGTTACTTAATAGCATTTTATCTATGTTCCTTCAGGGATCAAGTATTTCTTTTTGATTTTAAAAATCCCCTAGGTGGAAGAAAACCTGACACAAAGTCTACCTGTGGTTTAGAAACCAATTCAGATGCTACCTCCATAAAGTAGTTGCTGTCTTCATAACTAGCATTAATCTGTCCTACCCAAATATGTAAATTACACTATCTGTTCTTTTGTGGTGCTTTCTGCATCCACCTTCTTTTTTACATTGATACATTCTTCTCTTTTCTGCTAAATTCTAAATCCCCTGGGCACTGAGACCAGCTTTTTATTCTGGAACAGTGGTGGCAAACCTATGGCATGCATGCCACAGCGGGCTGTTTGTTATCATTGAAAGCTTTAAAAGGTTTGCCATCACTGCTCTAGAATGTCTGCATTATAGGATATCTGTTATATATGTCTGCATCATAGAATGTCTACCATTTGACAGATTTTTGAAACGGATTTTTGAAAGTTTGATAATGCAAATTAAGTATTTAAAAGAAAATTTTGTCTACCACCAGTCTTTTAAATGGTTAAGGCATATATATTATTTGTTTTTGTTGTTTACAGATTAGCAGCAAGAAAATTTCTAGGTGCAGCAAATTATCGGGAGAAGATTCACAGTACTTTGACGCCATGTGGAACTTTCCTCTTTGCTGGAAGTGAGGATGGCAGAGTATATGTTTGGAACCCAGAAACAGGTATTTAGTTACCATCAAATCTTTTTTTGGGGGGGTAGAGATAGAGGTTTCAAGTGTGAAAGCTATCATTTTACAGAATAGATTTCTAATTTTTTTTTCAGGATAGCTTTTAGTGGAACTCAGCTGCTATCTAAACTTAAATTCTGTTCTATATTGCGTTCATCATGGATTTAAAATTTTACATAATAATTTGAGGTTTATTCTTCCCTATGAAATACTGCTGCTCTTAGAGAAGTATTTAATGAGGCTTGTAATGCAAAATATTATAAGCTGAATTGTAACTAGGTAGACAGTTAATTATTCACTATGTATTTTCTTTAATAATAAAAACATTCCTGTGAAAGTTTTTGATGTCTGAAACTTAATTAGTAGTTACCTAAATTACTATAGTTATTTTCCAATAAACAATTATATCAAGAAGTTCACTTGTTCATCATCTTTGCTTTTCAAAAGAAAAAGTAAAACTACATGAGCTTTTTTTTTTTTTTTTTTTTTTGTGGGACCAGGGATTGAACTCAGAACCTTGCACTTACGAGGCAGGCGTGGCACCACTGAGCTAAATCCCCAGCCCTACATGAGCATTTTTAAAAAATTTTTCCTATTGCTCTCTCCCTTTAATAAATAGATCTCTTTGCTTTTTGACTTCTCGTTGGTTTTCCTAAATTCTACTGACTTCTGGTTTAGGCATCTTTGTGCCATAATCATAGATATCTTTCAAATAGATGGTACCTTAAATAGCCTGTGGTGGAAAAAATAGAAAAACATAATCTCTACCAAAATCCTTTAACTGGAGAAGTTTCTTCAGTTTGAGGATTTGTTGATCCCTTCCCTCACTTTGCTCAGAATCTTTGTTGATTATAATTTGCTCAGTTCTGTTAGATCACATAGCCATATACCTGTCTACTTCCTTCAAGCATATTATTTTGTGCCTGGAAAGTCTTATTGAAGAGGTTGAATTTTGAAGTACAAAGAGGAGGGCCAACAGAGTGCAAGATAATGACTATTATTTAATACAGTGGTACTCAAATACTTATATTTTGAGGTTTCATGTAGGTAATGTAAGCTTCATTATTACTATACATATTTCACTAAGTGACAGAGTAATCTTATAATGAGAAATACCTGATACAGTACAAATTATTGAATCTTTTTTATTTAGGGGAACAAGTAGCAATGTATTCTGACCTGCCATTGAAGTCACCCATTCGAGACATTTCTTATCATCCTTTTGAAAATATGGTTGCATTTTGTGCATTTGGACAGAATGAGCCAATTCTTCTTTATATTTATGATTTCAGTGGTAAGTGCTGTGATTGATCAGAATTTTTAGGGGCTGGGGATTTAGTTCAGTGGTGGGGCTGGGGATTTAGCTCAGTGGTTCCGCTGCCTGCCTCGCATGTGCAAAGACCTGAGTTCGATCCCCAGTACAAAAAAAAAAAAAGACTATTTAGAGTAATCTTTACATTTATTGTGCACCAGAAACCATTAGCTGTATGAAATCTGTTTATCCTTTGAACCAATAAACTCTTTTGATTATACTGTAAGAGCCAGAAAGATTAAATAAATTCTATTATAATGTTTTTTATGTTTTGTGAGATTAGTACAGAATTTAAATGTTGGGAGAAGTACACCTAATGATTGTGGTCTTATGTTAAAAATCACAAAATTACTTTATCAGTCTGTTTAAGTGAATTAAATTTACCTAAAAATTATTTGAGACTATGTTAACTGAATTTAAAAGGTAAATAACTTTATGGGACATATGTTTAATGTTTTTAGTTGCATATTGTATTAATTTCTTCTATGTTTTTTTACTAAGCTTTTTGTAAGTTGTAGTGGAGAGTTTTTAATACAAAACCAGGCAAAAAAATTAAATATCAATGAAAACAAGATCTGAATTAGAAACCTGTTTTCTTTTTCAGCCTTAAAATTAAGAAAATTAAAACTTTGGATGTTTTTCAGGAATAGGGTGGTGGCATATTATAATACAGTGCTGTCTTCCTCAAAATTGCAATACTGTTTTGTTCATATATTAATTTCTTATACTAAAAGTTCTTTATCTCTTCGATTTGTTTAGAATGCTATATATCATTATTTGCTATAAGCTAGGATAGCTTATGTACATGTATAGTTATATAAATATACAAATAAATATGTAGATAATATTTAATGTGCAGCTGTTTGGACAGAGTGCTTTAATAACATATGAAAAGTTAAGTTTAAATCAATACATATTGAATTTTTAATGCTCTGATAAGTGATAAATTATTAGACAATTATTATAAACCTGAAATTTTTTATTGTAGAATGGATTATATTATGCTCTTCCAGGTGAATTATCTTTAAAACAAATGCATAAAATCAAGATTTATCTTATTCTAAAGAACTTTCTAGAGAAGATATATATGTAATTCATATTTAAATTTATAAAAACTATCATGAATGATGGTTGTCAAGCAACAAAATATTATTTATATTTACTACCAAATGTTTACAAAAACTAAACAGTTTGATAATAGGAAAAGATAAATGAATTTCTCAAATCATGCAGTGTCTAGATCTGATGTCTAGTTCTAAAATGCATCCTGAAATAGTTCTTTGTATTCACTTCAAATCTTCACATAAACAAGGAGAGTTTTATATATATATATACTGTCATGCAGGAAATAGGCATCACAGTTATTTTTTCAGTCTCATAAGAGGTTTCACAATAGTCTTCATTCAATTTCTAATTTGCTTTTTAGGCTTTTGAAATTTTCACTACTAATGCAAGTTAAAATCTGTTTTTTTTTTTCTTCAAGCAGTTTATTTTTTGTCATTGACAGAAGCATTTTATCATTAGATTAGCCCAGGGTAGTTTGGTTTGCCAATTTGGTTTTTAGACAGAAGATATTTAGTCTAAGAAACCCACTCCAAAAGGGGAAGCAGAAAAGCAAAATGTTTTAGCAGCTCCTGTTCTGTTTTGTCAGTGACTTTACATAAGCTCTTGCCTTTTCTGAAGCTCCATTCCCTTATCTATTAAAGGCACTACTAGTACTTGCCTTCCCTATGAAACAGTCACCATAAAAGTGCTTTGTAGACCGATAAGCACTATGTTAAAACAAACAAAAGATAAAATGAGTTGTTACTATGTCACCCACCAATATACACTTGCCTTAATAGGAATTTATATTTTAATACACTGTTAAGCATCTCAAAATTAAAAAAGACTCCCCCCACCCCGTAACTCTATTAGTCAGCCTTTTCCATTCATTTAATGTAAAGGAGGAAGATTTCCATGAGCACTCTAGAAATAAAATGTTCAAATCATAATAGATAAAATTATTTTCTGCAATGAACTTAGAAAATAATTTTGATATACTAATATACCTTTACAAACAAAACTCAAAATGTTTCAACACAATTTCCCCAATTCTTTGATGCCCATTTTTTAAAAGAGGAAGCTTAGGAAGAAGTAACCTGAAACTATCCAAGATTTAGCATAATTCTTGTGAATGGTAGAGAACCGTAAGAAATGAAAAGTTGTTTCAAACTCTGAAATATTTTACTCATTAAATACAGCTCAGAATCCTCAATTCACATAGTCTTTAAATTTTTCATTGAAAAATTATTTTTAATTGATCTATCATAGCTTTATCTTACATTTTATTTTTTAATGCAGGACTATTTTGCCCCAAAAAAATCTTATCCGAAAATAAAGTTTACATGTGGACTTACATGAAATTTTAGTGGTGTAAAATTCACACAATTTTAGTGGTATAAAAGACACAAAACAGTTAAGTGATTCTGATCATTTTCAAGGAAAAAGGAGCAAGTTCATTTTTTTGTAAGTTAAACAAGTTGCGACTGAGACCACAGTGGTAGCTAAATGTATCATCCATCTTTCAGTTCTAGCAAAATCTGTGAAGAGTCAGCAAGCATCTTTCTCTGTGAAGCATATGTTCAGATTGTGGTCTCTTGAGTCTTTCATTCTACTGGCTTTTTGCTTTTTTTGGTAAGAAATATGATTTTTACTTTCAGAAGGCAGTTTTATTTGCCTGATGTTGAAAGGGTTAATCATCTAGTAATACAAAATTTAGTCACAGACTACCACAAACAATGTACTTTTAGGATTCCCATAATAACAAAGTACTAGTTGGAGAAACTGCTACTGAATTAATTTTATGAAGCCAGACTTTAGCAACTGATGTTTGATAATAATCAGTATCTGTCTACTTGAGTCTCTAGGATGCTAGTCTACATTTATACATAATTATAGCACCTTCTATGTTCTTGATAATGTATGAAACACTTTGTATATATTATTCAAGATTTCACAATGATTTTATGACATAGATGCTGTTGTTCCCCATATGTAACAGGAGCCAGTGCTTAAATCTTGAAATCTATGCCCTTGTTTGATGCATTAAACTGCATTATTAGCAGATTTCCTGAAATGATGGGCTAGTAATCAGACTTTCTTTTGCTGTACTGGGGATTGAACCCAGGGCCTTCAGACTGAGCTATATCCTCAGCTCTTCTTTTATTTTTTACTTTAAGATAAGGTCTTGCTAAGTCATAAAATGTCCCAGGCTAGGCTCAAATTGGTGATCCTCTTACCTCAGCCTTCAGAGTGCTGGATCACAGGTATGCACCACCATGCCCAGTGTCTTTGTATTTTTCTACTATGTAGAAAGCAAAGATGAAGAACTGTCCATTTTTTTATTACCAACATCTATCCTGAATTCTGACATGAAGTGAACAGGCATGCAGTATTTTAAGTAGGGTTAAGTCTTAATTTGGGAAAATCTTAGCATTATTTGATAATACCAGATAATTAGCCTATTTTCTCAATAGATGGCAGTGTCTCCTCTGAACCACTGTTAGCTCAGTTACTTTTCAGATTGCCTTAAGCAAGGCAAATCTTTTTTTTTTTTTTCACTTTATTAAATTCTTTTATTGGTACATTGTAGGTATACAAGGCAATTACATTTCTCATTGGGAACGTGTACCTTTACATAATGCATCTTGGTTCTTATTTTTTCCTCATTCCTAGCTCTCCCTTCACCCCCTCCACCCTTCCCTATTTACAAAGACTTTATTTCCATTTTTTCCATTTCTCATCATTTTTCCTTTCCCTTCTTTCCTTTCCCCTG